ATTTATTTTGCATAATGCTGCTACAGCAATGGCTAAAAATAACTGATATGCTCTTAATAATTAAGGCTTCGTGTAGACTTTGTTCTAATTGAGAAATAACTCAAACTAATTTGAATATCTGGGAACTATTAACACACGATAGATCTAATTTTTCTCTCCCTTTTGTATACTGATTTTAAAGGCAAACTCCAGTGAAGTGGTAATTGACCTTAAGTGAATGAAAATGGTTTAGAGGAAGAAATGATATTTTATTAAAATTTACAGGAAAGCTAAGATAGGAAATACTCAGATTATAAATTTTCTTGCTGTATTGCTGCAATGAATTATTATACTTTTGTAATTTTGCATGTTTATACTTTGTTTCCACAGGAACAATACCTTACCTTTTTGTGTCATGTCCAATGCCTATCACAGTGCTAGTTCATGGTTGATGTGTAAATTGTCTTTAAACATGGTGTTTTCAGTATGATCTTATTTCTAGAAATATATTTTACTTAGTTCAGAATTACATGTGTGTTAAACCTATTAGTTGGTTGCTTCAATTATAGCTGAATTATTTATCCATTGTAATTACAAAAGCATTACTGCTTTCTGTTAGGAATGTTTTTTCTTCCAGTGATATGTTCCTATGTATCTAACTCCTTTATTCAGCAGGGAATTACCTTGGTCTCTGACTGCTGCTGCTATTTATTGGTGCAAGTATCAATAAACTTTGCTCATTACTTTCATATGTATATTCCAAAGTTTTACATGGTTCCCATCTTCATACATTAACTGTGCTTTCTACTGGCAAATAACCCTTCTAACAGATAGTTGCTTTTTTCTGAGGCCAAGTTTGTATATAACTGATTGTGCAGATACTAATCTTTTCATATTTTACCTCCCTCCCTTTCTCCATCTGTCATGCTCAATGTAGTATGCTAGGTACTAGAGGGGATTAAAGAAACAAAAGACTTGGTCTTGTCCTCAAGTAGCTTACCATCTATTGAGGAAAAATGTGTGCACATAAAAAAGATTACAAACCAGAGTGGAAAATATGATGTGTCACAAGTAAATAATATAGGCTTACACACTATAGAAAATTCAAGGAAGATCTTAAGGGCTGGAATTATGTGGTTTCTTGACTGAGTCTGAAGGATATCTTGATCTAATGGGAAAAGCACAAGACATTGAATCGGAAGACCAGGTTTTCACCTCCAGCACTTGCTAACTGTTGTAACCTTATGACTGGGCTTTCTGAAGTTAATTTCTCTCATATGTAAATTGGAACCATTACGATGATAATACCTTTTCTCTTTACTTCAATTTGTAAATCATATAATCAAATAAAACGATATAAAAATGTTCTGAAAACATTAAAGTATGATTACAAACCTAAGGGTGTGTTGTTTTTTTATTACATACCATTAGTATTTATGCTGAAACACTAAGAAATGTTTGAAGTTCAATAGGAAGAGAGGGGCAATGCTGTATATAATACGTATGTATGTTATTTAATAGGGAGAGGAAATAACAGGGCTGTGATACAAGTTTGACTTTTTTGTTTGGGGACAATTCATACTATACCTGTAATTATTTAGAAGCTGATAATAGTTATGAATAATGTAAGAATAATTATAACCACTATTTATTGAGCCTTTACTATGTGCCAGGGACTCTTAAGAACTTTTTATGCATTTTCTAATTTAATCTTCACAACCATCCTAAGAATCAACTATTATTGTCCCCATTTCGCAGAGGGGAAAACTCTGCATCAGAGAGATTGTCATTTGGCAAGGTCACACAGCTAGTAAGTAACAAGAGCAAGATTTGAACCTAGATCTGCCTAACTTCTAAACCAATAATTTCCATAACTTTGGAGTATCATACAAAATGCCATGGTAAACTCAGAGCCAAATGAAGTGGTTTGATGTGTTCATTAAATCAGAAGAAATGGGTATTTAAAAAATTATTTTAAGCAAAGGTGAATCCTGTAAGGAATGAAGTTATAGAGGAAACAGGCCAGTTCATGGAAGACTTGTGCGCCATGTCTGAGAATTTAAACTTGATTCTGTGGGTAATCAGGAGCCACTGAAAGTTTCAAGTACAGAAATGTAATCATTGCCTGCCTGGCACAGAGTTGCTGCTCCATACAAACTTAATGAATAAATGAATAAATGGGATTTGTCTTTTAGAAAGAGTGACCTGGTGATGATGTGGAACATAGTTTGGAGAGAAGACTGAAAGTAGGAAAACTGTTAAGAGTTTAAGAAAGATGGCAGAGCCTGAACTGTTGGCATACAGGAGCTGGCTGGTACTGGGTTGGAGAGCCAATTAAGTATATCTGCCCAACTTGGGGTTCAGTGACATTTGAGTTGGTAGTTTGAAATCAGCCATGGTGGGAGAATTTAAACCACAGATGTTGGCAAACACTACAAATTAGGTCTTTTTGGAGAGCTGATTTACCAACACACTATTGGCCTGAACAAAAGGTTGGAGAGGAAGAAATATTTACTAGAGGGGTTAATGAGGAATCAGCAATACTTAGCATCGATTGGTTGATGGGGAGGAGGGTCAGTGGGGGAGATTATAAAATGATTTCTCAAGTTATTGGCTTGGATGAGTCAAATGGGATACTGGTACCTATTAACAAGGGAAGGAGCTCAAGAATGGGGAAAGATAGTGAATTCTGATCAGGGAAAATTGAAGTATCTGTGGGACATGATGGTATACATGTCCGGAAGACAGCGGTTATATAGATATATGACCAACAGTAGAGGTCTGGGTTCAATATAAAATATGGGAATCATGAGCATATAACCGATAGTTGAAGTCGTCAGAGTAGATGAATTTGTAAAACAAAATAAAGGGACAGAACCCTGGGAAAGGCTGTGGTAAGTCTTCATGTTTTATAAAGTAAATATAAATGAAACCATGTCTTTTTGTTCAAAGACTGTTTGAGAAAGTAGGTAGAATTATATTTTCTTTGTAAATACTGCATTTGGAATAAAATCACTGTAATGTAAATGAACTGTAAAGAGTATTGGTATCTGATAAAAACAGGCATGTGATTAAATCAGATTTATCAGATCTTTATAGCAAGATTTATCAAAATACTTTAAAACAAAAAGATTTAATAATCCAAAAGATTAACATACTATCAAACATCTGAAAGAATAAAAACATTCTACAAAACTAGAGAAAACAAGTTATTTCCAAAACGCAATGATAAGGAATTCTATCCTTCTGTCTTGGCACTATATTGTAATTGTGTTTCTTTTCCTCTGTCACTTTTACTGGGAGTGGGGAGATGCTGTGTCTTTTATCTATATTTTGGGCCTTGTACATAGTGCGTACT